TTTGGTGCTTGGCTGAGTTCTTTATCTCTTCATTTGATGTTTCAGGGTTTCAGGATTGTTGTTTTCTCGGTTTGGCTTAGTTTTTCAGATCTTTGCTGTGGAGGGACGACGTGGTGCTTCTGCCTAGAGCACCATTTTGCCGGAAGTCAGATTATCTTTTTGAAGTGAAAATATTATATATCAGCATTGAATACAGACTTCCAAAATTTTACTCTGAATAAGTATAAAAACATTCAAAATTTCCTGTAGTTATAAAGCAACACTTGGCCAAAGCAAGAACATTCTGTAGAACTATACTACTCTTATTTGGATCTTACTGTTCTGGAAGTCCTTTTATTCAGAAATGATTTTGATTTTACAGCAAGAATCCATTGAGATAGGACTTTGATGAGAATTTATTATTAGGTTCAACCATTTTCAGTGCAAACAGTATAAATTCTACTGCTTTTGACTGATAAAAATGTTATTTGCATGTGGTTCAGCCTAATAATTGCTCTCACCAAAGAAGTAAAACGTAAGATTGTCAACCTTTCTTTCTTTCTTTTGTTTTTTAAATTAAAGGAGGTTCAAATCTAAGAGTTTCTGTATAAGCTGATGGGTAACATATGATTAGCTGCTTTACTTGGCTAGCAAAACGCTTTGAGCTGATAAGTCAAATGAACGACATGTCCCAGGCCGTACCAAGAGAACTACACCAGCAGCCAAAGACCTTCATCTGTTGCTGCAGCAGTGCCCTGTCAATGAGCAAGTAGACAAGGAAGAAGAAAAGTGAGCATGTCCTATAAGAGTTTGACAGACTAGGATGTAACTTGGCAGCAAAGTACAAACTTGCTAAAGGTCAAAACCTGGACTTGGCACTCACGTCTCACAGAACTTACTCATCTAGATGTTTCAAAACTGTCTTCCAATGTGCCCTGCTTATCAAATAGCAAGGCGAAAACCAAGAAACATTTGTTGCATTCCTTGCTCCAATTTATCAGGCTGCTTTGGGACTGGGTAGCCAATACAGGGAAATAGGGCTGCAGGGTCATTGTGAAGCAGCTGATAGAGCTTAACACAAGCCAAGGTAGGTGTGGACCTTACAGGGATATCCTTGGCCATAGCAAGAGTGTGACATCAGCTTTAGTATCCAGAACATCAATGGGTGGGTCAAATTCACGCAGCGTCCATAATGAGCAGAAGGGAGCCCATACACGGTAGAGATGATGCATTTAAAAAAGCGATAGACTGATTAAAGAATGAGCCCAGCAATGTCTGAGGAGGTGAAAAAAAAAAACAACCAAAAACCAAACCTGTTGCGTCCAGTCCATTCTGACTCACAGCAACCCTACAGGACAGAGTAGAACTGCCTGGTGGGGTTTCCAAAGAGCGGCTGGTGGATTTGAACTGCTGGCCGTTTGGTTAGCAGCCGAGCTCTTAACCACTGCGCCACCAGCGCTCCCTGAGAAAGTTAGAAGTGTTATAAATGCTCAGCAAAGAACACATCATGAACCAGAAGTGCAGTACCCTGGGCAGCAGGAGATATCACGGGGAATTCTGCTTCAGTTTTCCAAATGTAAATTGTGCTGACCTGAAAAACTCGGGCAATAATCTTAAATGAGATAGCATCTAAATGAGATAACAGTGTATCAAATCTATTACAGACATTCAGTTAGTTCCCTTCGTAAAAAATCAAGAGAGTCAGTGATAGATGTATTACATTGCTATGTCTGTTCTATAATATATGTGTACATATGTGTATGTTGTTGTTGTTTGCTGTCAAATTGATTCGGACTCATAGCGACCCTATAGGACAGAGTAGAACTGCTCCACAGGGTTTCCAAGGCTGTAATCTTTATGGGAGCAGACTGCCACATCTTCCTCCTGTGGAGCGGCTGGCAGGTTCAAATCGCCGAACTTTTTGGTTAGCAGCCAAGTGCTTAACCACTTCACAACCAGGGCTCCTACATATATATGATATAGATATGTATACACAGACATATATCATATATATATACTGAACCCCTGGTGGCGTAGTGGTTAAAAGCTAAGGCTTCTAACCAAAAGATCTGCAGTTTGAATCCACCAGGCGCTCCTTGGAAACCTTATGGGGCAGCTCTGCTCTGTCCTATACGGTTGCTATGAGTTGGAATCAACTTTTTATCATGTGTATGTTGTATGTGTGTGTGTATTAGTTATCGTTGTATGTAGGTCTGTTGTTGTTAGGTACCACTGAGTCAATTCCGACTCTTAGCACTCCCATGCACAGCAGAATAAAAAGTTGCCCAGTCCTGAACCATCCTCACAATTGTTGCTGTGTTTGAGCCTGTTGTTGCAGCCACTGTGTCAGTCCATTTCGTTGAGGGTCTTCCTCTTTTTCACTGACCCTCTACTTTACCCAGCATGATATCCTTCTCCAGGGAATGGTCCCTCCTGATAACATGCCCAAAGTATGTGACACGATGTCTCACTATCCTCGCTTCTAAGAATCATTCTGACTGTACTTCTTCCAAGACAGATTTGTTCATTCTTCTGGAAGTTCATAATATGTTCAATATTCTTTGTCAACACCATAATTCAAAGGTATCAATTCTTCTGTCTTCCTTATTCATTGTCCAGCTTTCGTAAGCATATAAGGCAATTGAAAACACCATGGCTTAGCTCAGGCACACCTTAGTCCTCAAGGTGACATCTTTGCTTTTTTAACACTTTTAAGAGATCTTTTGCAGCAGATTTGCCCAATGCAATGCATCTTTTGATTTCTTGGCTGCTGTTTCCATGGATGTTGATTGTGGATCCAAGTAAAATGAAATCCTTGACAAGTTCAATCTTTTCTCTGTTTATCATGATGTTGCTTATTGTTCCAGTTGTGAGGATTTTTGTTTTCTTTATGTTGAGGTGTAATCCATACTGAAGGCTGTGGTCTTTGATCCTCATCAGTAAGTGCTTCAAGTCCTCTTCACTTCCAGCAAGCAAGGTTATGTCATCTGCATATCGCAGTTCTTAATTAGTCTTCCTCCAATACTGATATGATGCTGAAATCTGTTGGCTAGAATTTTGTTAACAATTTTTGTATCTATATTCATGAGAGATATTGGTCTGTAATATTCTTTTTTTTTTGACGTGTTCATGTAGTCCAATTTTCTTGGATTATTTGTTCAGCATACAGATTGAATAAGTATGGTGAAAGGATACAGGTCTATCTATCTATCTATCTGTCTATCTACCTATCTATCTACCTGTCTGTATCTATCCATCAGCAGATTTTAGAACTGTGAATGTCTATACCATTTATTCCTTGAATTGTACTAATTTTGGGATGTGTTTTATGTCTTTTCTAGATGAAAAGCTCTTAATAGCAGGGTATATATTGTCAATGGTATTTTTCAGGTAGTACTCACTTTATAAGGAGCCCTTGTGGTGCAGTGGTTAAGCACTTGGCTGCTAACTGAAAGGTTGGCGGTTCAAAGCCCCCAGCTGCTCTGAGGAAAAAAGATGTGGCAGTCTGCTTCCGTCAAGATTATAGCTTAGGAAACCCTGTGAGGCAGTTCTACTCTGTCCTATAGGGTCACTATGAGTTGGGATCAACTCGAGGGCAACAGATTTGGTTTTTGGTTTTATCTTTAATATGAGTTTGAAGTAATATTTTCTTAGCACAAGGTTTTACTTCTTGTTTGAAAGTCAGTAAGTCCAAGGGCTGGTTTTACCAAATTGCTACATTTCTTTCTTCCTTTTTTTTTTTCCAGGACTTTAATAAGCTTTTAATCTGCAAATATTTTCAAGGTATCCTCCAACCTCCAATTCTCTAATATACAGGTATCTTCTATGTAAGAATTTTATAGTCTGCAATTAGGACTTTTTTTTTTCTTTCTTTCAATTATATTTATTTTGTTGTTGTTGTTGAGAACATACACAACAAAACAGACACCAATTCAAGAGTTTCTACATGTACAATTCACTGACATTGGTTACTTTCTTCAAGTTGTGCAACCATTCTTCCCCTCCTCTTCTGAGCCCCACCCCCACCCCCGTTAACATAAACTCACTGCCCCCTAAGGTTCCTTTCTAATGTTTCAAGTTGCTGTTGTCAATTTGATCTCATCTAGATAGTTCTTTTTTTACTAGTTAAGCTAAACTACTGTTTGGTTTTAAGAAGACTTCAGGGGATATTTTTGGTTTAAGGTTTAGGTTTAAAGATTATTTTAGGGCGTAGTTTCAGGGATTTATCTAGCCTCTATGGCTCCAGAAAGTCTGGAGCCCATGAGAATTTGAAATTCTGTACTGTATTTCCCCCTTTAGATTAGGATTCTTGTGTAGAATCTTTGATCAGAATTGGAACTGGTTTTAATGTATCACAAATATAACAGCCTGAAAGAGACACATGCTCAGATACACTTTAACAGTTAAATGCATTTTTACTCTGTCCTCGTAGTCTGAAATCTTTCAAGGTGTGTCTTGCATTTTGTGAGTGTGTTTCTGCATTTTGTGATCAGCATGTATTGTAGAGATTAGTTTATTTATTCTATCTGAAACTTCATTTATTCCATCATACTGAACATTTGGTTCTTTTTTTCACCCAGCAGATGATGCTGCAGCTGACAGTCGCAGAACTTATACTTTAACTGATTATTTAAAAAATACTTTTAGAATGAAGGGCTACTCCTTACGGTGGATAGCAGGTAAGAATTTGGGGAAGGAGGGTGTGTGCAGATTTTTATGCTTATGTTTATTCTAGTTAGGTTGTGAGGAAATTTTATGGCTTTCAGAAGATGATATCTTTGTTCTTTAAGGCCTTATGAGAGAGTGTTTTTCACTATTTAAGAGTGTGAAGGGGGAGAAGACAGAAAGAAAGCTAAGCTTAGTATCTCTTTGATGCTGTTGTTAGGTGCTGTGGAGATGAATTTGACTCATACCTACCCCATGTAACAGAGTAGAACTACCCGACAAAGTTTTCTAGGCTGTAATCTTCCTGGCAGCAGATCACCAGGTCTTTCTCCTGAGGAGCCCCTGGGTGCCACCTCCTAGACTGAGGCCATTTGGTTACCAGCTGAGTGCTTAACTGTTGGACAACAGGGCTCCTATTTCTTTGTTAGGTACTATGAAAAGTTAAATGCGAATTGAAACCTTGACAACAATGATGGAGAAATCAATGTACATTAGTGTAATAATCTTCACTTAATGTTTTTCCACTTTAGAAATGCTTATTTAGTGTCTGTGTGAACTTAAATCTGAACTTTTTATTGCATAGTTTTTAGCTTTTGAAGATGTTTAATAGCAACTCGCAATATTGATCTTGCCTTTTTCTCTCTTTAGATCATGAATATCTCTACAAACAAGATAATAATATCTTGCTATTCAATGCTGAATATGGAAACAGCTCTATTTTCTTGAGGAACAGTACATTTGTATGTTTCATCACATAATTAATTCATGCTTTGGGGAAATACTGGGGATTTTTCTCATAACCTCTGAAATGATGAGTATTCATCCTGTTGGACTCTCTCTGCAGCATATGGCACAGTGGATCTTTCTCTCCTTGAACTGCTCCCCGCTTTGGCTCCTCTTTAGTCTCCTTTGACGAGTCCTCCTCTTCTACCCATACTCTTAAATGTAAGTGCTCTTTGGGGCTCCTCTGTCCTCACTAGCTCACCTCTCTTCTCACTTTGCGTGCTCTTCTTCACAGAATTTCATCCACTCCCACAGCATCAGTGCTTGCCTTTATGGCTTTAATTCTCAAATATGCACTTTTAACACTAACCTCCTCCTGAGATATAAACCTCCATTTCCAATAGCCTGCTGGCTCTTGCATGTGGCTCTTATACTCAGTATCCCAAGCTAAGCTTGTGATTTCCCTTCTGCTCCTAGCAAACCAGAAGTGTCTCATTCCTCTTCCTGAGTCCCCAATCTTGGTAAATAGTATTCTTCTCCAAGTCACTCAAGCTAGAAATTGCAGAATCATCCTTGACTTCTTCTCTGTCAGCCCCTATGTTTAGCCACTCAACAAACCTAATAAGTCCGCCTCTGCAATGCAGACTCCCAGATTGTGTCTCTCAGATTTCGGTTTCCATTTCCACTGCATAGTCCTGCTCTAAGACCTTGTTTAATCTTGGCGTAGTGAGCACTCTAACTTGTGTGTCCCTATCTCCATTCTGTGCAATAGGACCACTGGGTCCGTTGCTCAAGTCCGGGACTAATGGCAACCCCTCTGCTCTCCCCTCTCATTTCAGCCACTGTGTCACCAGAGTATCTTTGTAAGACAGATCTGATTCTATCACTTCCATGTGCCAAAAATAGCTCATAGCTTCACTTCTTGTATTTTAGTTCCTAGCTATTGTTCTAATTTTAGGTACTCTTACCTTCCATGTCATCCAGCACACCCTGTACTGTACCCAGGTAACGCATAACCCTTAACCATTTTCTAAATGTGCACACCCTAGCCTCTTGTAGGTTTTTGCTCAAGCTGCTCCCCCTGTTGAGAAAGTCCTCTCTGTTCCAAGCCCCCATCCTCATGGCTGTCTTTCCTCAGAGTTTATCCTTCCCTCCCTGGTTCTCCAACACGAATCACCATCACCTGACATCATAGTCATTTGTGTGGGCGAATGTGCCACCTCTCCAAGACTGAGAGCTCCCAAGGCACAAGTCACTTGTCTAGAACAGTACCCTCTACATAGTAAGTGCTCAATAATGTCAGTTGAATTTTCAGTTTTTCTTTTTTTCTCTTTGATTGACAGGATGAACTTGGATATTCTGTAAATGATTACTCAGTATCTCCTGATGGACAGTTTATTCTCTTGGAGTACAACTATGTGAAGGTAAAAGAAATGCTTTCTCACAATCACATTTAATGAATCATATAAGTATGCTATTTTATAACTGATTTCGAGTCTATGGATATTTAATATTGATATTTAAGTAATATACACTAATAACTCATTAATTCAGCATCTAGAGGAAGAATGGCCATTTTCCTTCATAAAAGACAAGCCTGAAGAATGTTTTAAAAGAAATTCATTTTCAGTGCTTTCAAATACTAAAAAGTATAATTTACATTATATTATAGACACTAATGATGCAAGTTAATACAATAAAATTTACAAGAGGCATTTATAATATAATTTTAAAGTAGGTTCCTATGTCAGATTTGTGCATCCAGTAGTATAGTCACTCATTTCCTTTGCCTCAGCTTTATAAATAGTAAGACTCTCAAAAAGTATTTGTTTTAAAAAGAGTTAAACTTCCCATCCTCCAGAAGACGCTCTACAAGGTGACCTAGAACAACTTCTGCCTTTGGGCCCTGCCATATACAAACCATTTCTAAAGAGAGGGGCCTCAGTACTGGCGTCATCAACACTCTCCTGAAAGCACTCAGCTTCCCTCGGTCATCTAGCCCAACCTCCAATTCTAACACATCCCAGAAAGGTTACAGCTTAATTACACATCCTCTTCATATTTAGGATGGATACAAATCGCCAATAACTTTAACTGCAAATTTTTGGTTTTTCATAAATTTGACAACAGTTTTTGAAGATTTAAGAAATGGAGGAGAGATCAAAAACCCTTAGAGAGAGGTTCTGCATTGAAAACAAAATACAAAGCTAAGGACTCCAGCCCCTGACTTCTTTTCCTGGGATAAATAACGCTGCTGCACTCAGGCCAAGCAAACCATTTCACACTCCATTTACCATCTCAGCATGGTGACTTTCAACTGTATCTACCCTAGATTCACTGTGATGAACTCCATTTCCTGGATGTGAAGACTCTCTATCTTCGCTAAGCCAATCAACTATACACAATTCAGAGTTCTATGTCAGGTTTCACATCTGTTCCCATTAATAGATTATTTGTTTAATTCAGTGGTTCTTACTGTTATCACTTGAGGAGCTTAAAAAATTCCCATTGTCCAGGTTCAATCACTAGATCAGTAAATTGAAGTTGAAGGAGAAGGGTGAGGCTATCCTCAGTATTTTTAATTAATGCTATAGATGAGTCTAATGAGCAACCAGGGTTGACATCCACTGTATAACTGTTGTCCCCATTAAAGACTTTGACATATCAAGACTTAGAGGTCAAAGTGGAAGCAGAAAGGTAAATGTTACCTCAATTTACTATTTAACCAGGTTAGATAAGTGCCATTTGATGTGTACTAATTGATATATTTCATCCTGTAGACCTTCCTTGAACAACCACCGTTGGTGATTTGTATTTATTGTGTCGCCGGTGTTCACTTGTGTCTTTAATTACTTTTGTTGTCTTCGCTCTGCCCCCTCCCTCCTAATAGTCTTGCTTCAAACCATACCCCAAATGATCCTTTTAAAACCTAGGTTAGGTTACATCACTTCTATGCTTAAATCCTCTAGTAGCTCACCTAGAATGAAACACAAACTCTTAACTGTGGCCTCCTCGGAGGCCTGTGTGATTGGACCCCAGTCTGCCCCTCTGGATCCATCTCCTATCACTCTCTCTCTCCTGCAAGCACCATGCTTGACCAATGGTTCTCACCTCTACCTGCCTTAGAATCGTCTGGGGGAAGTTTTTAAAAAATACAGATGCCTGTAGTCCATCAAACCAATTAACTCAGCACAGCTGTGAGTGGGGACCAGCGCAGATCGATATACAGCTTCCCAAGGTTGACAACTTCTGCTGCACATGCACGACTTTTTTTTTCTTTCCTTCAAGCATTATCCTCATGTCCACCTAAAGGCAAAGGCATTTGTAATTGCATCCTTCTGGAACCTTCTTCCCTGATCTTTACAAGACTCTCTCCTTTTTATTAATTCAGGTCCAGGCTTTCTTGGATCACTTTATCAGCTCCACCCGTACCCCTACCTGCCACTCTGTATCCTATTAGCCTATTTTTGTTTCTTCATAACATTTCTGTGAAATTATGTTCATTTCCTTACTAGTTTTTTGCCTGTCTTTTCTACAAGAATGTTTCCTGTGTTTGACTCACTTATGTACCTTTAGCACCTAGGACAATGTCACATAGCAGATGCTCAAAAATGCCTATTAAAAGAATCTATGTTTTACTTTGAAGCATTAAAGTGCAAGATTATTGAGAGCAAAGAACTGTATCTTCTGTTTTCATTATTACCTCCCAGGGTATCTGTAAAGCATAAACATGTTGACTAACCAACCCTCAAAAAACGTATCCAGACAAAAATTAAAAAAACAAAACCAATTTTATTATATTTCCTTGGAGATCCACTATCTGGTGTTCTTTAGATCCTACTACATGACTTCTTCATGACTGAGTTAGTACATCCAGAATTATCAATGGTTACTTCTGAATTGTGGCTACAAATAAATAAATAAGCAAGTGAGGGAATAAGTGAAGGAGTATCATTACATTCTGGTATGGATGCTCACCTAGTATCTTCACTCAATGCCGAATGCTCTAACCCATTGCCATTGAGTCAATTCTGACTCATAGCAACCCTATCGGACAGAGTAGAACTGCCCCATAGGGTTTCCAAGGCTATAATCTTTATGGAAGCAGACTTCTACATCTTTCTCCCGTGGAGTGGCGGATGAGTTCCAACAGCCACCTTTCAGTTAGCAGCCGAACACTTAACCACTATGCCACAACGGCTTCTGCCGAATGCTCTAGAGATAATAATAATGGCTGCTATCATCTATTATATGTTTAAAATGTTCCAGGAACCCTGCTAAACACTTCACGTGCATTCTGATGCATCTGAGACCATTGCCATTATTACCTCCCACTTTCCTGAAGAGAAAATTCAAACTTAGAAAGTTGCCTTATATAACACAGTGGAGACTTGAATCTAGGTTATGGGACTCCAAAGATTGTGCTCCTAAATAGGATCTTTCCTATCTTTATGCTTCATATTTCTCTCTGCTACAAGGCTTTCTCTGCCCAGTCCTCTGCCACTGAAACTCAGCTCAAATATCACCTATTCCTTAAACCTTCCCTTAGGCCTAGATGATAATCCCTGCCTCTCCCCACCCACCTTTATTATATTTCTTGGCATACACCCTATTGTGATTCTTGTATTGTAGTTTACTTGTCCATATCGCCCATTCAACTATAAGCTCCTGAAAGAGAGGGACCCTGTCTTATCCATTAATGCCTGACATATGATAGCTGCCAATTTTTATAGACTGTAAGTAGATTGATGAGTCTTTTTCAAAAGATGAAGTGAACACACCAAATATCTTGGATTTCCTTTTAAGCCTGTTTATGTATTTAACCTGCACCACAGCTTTGGGCGCTAGCCAGACTCAGAGGTTGTCCTGCAACAAGCATGAGGTGTGTCAAAATAATCTAGGAATCAGGAGAGAAATCTATGACTTTCAAAAACTAGGAGCTTAATAAATAGGTGTTGACATGAGAGAGTAGGAAGACAAGAAACGACTAGTGGGAAGAATTCTTCAGTGTTAGGAACCCTGGCTTTGTGTCCCTGCTCTGTCATTTTAGAGATGGGTACCTTGGGCCACCTGTTTCATCTATTTCATCTTCACCGGTAAATAAAAATATAAATTTGAAATTTTATTTGTTTCTTCAATAGCTACTATATGGTTTGCACTGGACCAGTATTTAAAGCTGAATAAAATACAATCTCCTACCTCTAGGAGTTTACAGTAGTATAGTAGGGAAGATAGACAACAGACAAGTAATTTCTGCTAAAATATCTTTATTTAATTTATACATGCATCCACATATGAATACAATTTTCTATCATGCAAATAGCGATCATATACCCATTTTTAATCTGCAGTCTTTTCTCTCCTTTTTGTGTGACTCCCTACTTCTCATATGTACCCCAGTTATCCCATGTTAAGAGTCTACTGTGTATCCCTCCATGTTTTATATTTTTCTCCTTATTCATATAATTTTGTGACAGTACATATAGGGATTCTTTTTACTTATTGCTTGTTCTGTAAAAAGGAATCATATTTTATATACTTTTTCTTAAATTGCTTTTGTTACTCAATGACACCTTGTGGAACTTTCTCTAAGCCATGTAGTATAGCTCTAATTCATTTTCAATAGCTGTATAATATTCCATGGTGTTGATATATCATTATTTATTCAGCCAATCCCCTAATAATGGACATTCACTTTGTTTTCAGTTTTGTGTTTCTTACTGTGGACAGTGTCGCAATAAATTTATATCCTGAAGTATTGACGAAAAGTACAAAAATACTAAGTTTATGGCTCTATGAATTTTTACAAATAAATACACCTGTGAGTCTACATGCAGATTTAAAACATAACCAGTCCCAAGAAAACTTCCCTGCCTCCTTTTACTCATTAACCTCCCAAAGCTAACAAGTGCATTAACTTCTATAATCACAGATTGCTTTTGCTCATTTATGAATTTTTCCTAAATGAAATCATGTATGTGCTCCCTCTTGCATTTGGCTTCTTTTGCTCAACATTATGTTTGCAAGATTCACCATGTTGTAGCTTCTAGCAGTAGTTCATTCTTTTTCATTATTGTATAAGCACTGTATTATATGACTCTACCAAAATTTATTTATTCATGCCATTGTTGATAGACTTGTTTTGAGTTTGGGGTTATTCTAAGTAATGCTGCTATAAACAGTCTTAAATCAGTCTTTTGGTGCATGTATATACACATTTCTGTTGGCTATATACCTAGTAGTGGAATTGCTGGGTCATAGGGTATATTTAGGAGCCCTGGTGGTGCAATGGTTAAACACCCAGCTGCTAACTATAAGGTTAGCAGTTTGAACCCACCCAGAGGCTCTACTGGAAAAAGACCTGGCAATCTGCTTTTGTAAAGATTAAAAATCAAACCAAAACAAAATAAAACAAGTCAATTCCAACTCATAGCAACCCTGTAGGACAAAATAGAACTGCCCCATAGGGTTATAGCCCCATAGGCTATAATCATTACAGAAGGAGATTGCCTCTTCTTTCTCCCACAGAGCAGTTGGTGGGTTTGAACCACCAACCTTCCATTTATTAGCCAAGTGCTTAACCATTGCACCACCAGGGCTCCTATGTAAAGATTGCAGCCAAGAAGACCCTATAAGTCAAAGGCACCCAACAACAGCTACAGGGTGTATATTTGTTTAGTTTTACATGTGTGTTTAGCTTTAATATACACTGCCTCACAGTTTTTCATAGTGGTCTTATCATATTACACTTTCACCAATAGTGTATGAGTATTCATTTGCTCTACTTGGCAATATTTAGTATTGTTAATTAGTTGGTTTGCTTTAATTTTAGCCATTCTATTGGCTAAGTAGTGGTGTCTCATTTTGGTTTTAACTTGCTTTTCCCTGATGACTAATAAAGTTGAGCATCTTGCCATATTATTAGTCATTTGGGATTTTCTTTAGTGAAGTTGTTGTCAGTGCCATCGAGTCAGTTCCAACTCAGGAAATACCGGGTCAAATTTTTACCCATTTTTCTATTGGATTTTCTTTTTCTTATTGATTTACAAGGGTTCTTTACATATTTTGGATATGTCTTTATTAGTTATATATATTGCTAATATCTTCTCTCACTTTCTGTGCTGCTTTTTCACTATCTTAATGGTGCTTTTGATAAACAGAAGCCCTTGAGTTTAATGATATCCAATTTATTATTATTTTTTCTCCTTTATGGCTAGGGCTTTTTGTGTCGAGTTTAAGAAATCTCTGTTACTCCAGGGTTATGCAGATATTTCTCATATGTTATCTTCGAGAAGTGTTATTGTTTTGCCTTTCACATTTAGGTTTTTGATTAATTGGAAAATGATTCTTTTTTTATTCATGGTGTGAGGTATTGGATATGGATATCTAATTGACCAAGCACCACTTAATAAAAAAACTATTCTTTGTCCATTACACAGAAGTGGTACCTTTGTCATATATGTGTGTGTGTGTGTTTGGACTCTTTCATCTGTCTCACTAGGCTAATTGGCTACCTTGCTCCAAAACTACATTGTCTTAATTATACTAGCTAAACAGCTCTTCAGAAAATGGTTGTATAACTCTTCCAGTTTATTCCTCTTTAAAATTGCCCTGTCTCTATTTGACCACTGCATTTCTGTATAAACTGGAAAATGATATTTTGGTTGGATTTGCATTGAATCTATAGATCAATTTGGGAATATGGGACATCTTTATAATATTTTGACTTCTGATCAATGAAAATGGAGGCATTTCCATCTATTTACTATGTCTCAGTTTTGATAAATTGTTTCTAAAGGCATTGGTCCTTTTCTCTATTTTTTAAAATTTATTGACAAAATTGTTTATAATATCCTCTGATAATTTTTAATGTCCATACAGTCTGTTGTAACGTTACATTTTTCATTTCTGATTAGTCATTTCTGCTTTTTTTCCTGCTCAATCTTGCTATATTAGCAATTTTATTAGTGTTTTCAAAAAACCAAACTTTTGGCTTTGTTGATCTTTCTGTATGGTATGTTTTCTATTTGGTTGATGCCCTTATCTTTATTATTTATTTTCTTCTACTTTCTTTGGATTTAGTTTTCTTTTCCTGTAGCTTCTTGCAATTGTTTAAAATATTGATAATATGTGAGTTTTAATTCAAAAATTGTATAACTCTTTACATTTTCATCAGCAATGTACTAAAGATAACTATTTTCCCCATCACTACCAACAATCGAATTATAGATTGTTGGTGGTAATGTAGAAATGTTTTGCCAGTAAGATAAGTAGAAAGTGAAAATTTGCATTTTCCTAAACAGGTGAATTTAACATACCGTGATATGTGCTTGGAATAATATCTGCATAGAAACTGGCATTTCAGCTCACTGGAGGATCTGCAAAGGCTTCTTGGAGGAGGTGATGCCAGAACTAGGTTATAGATGACGTCCAGAGGAGTTTGTACTGTATGATCTCTAAGATACCTTCTAACACCAAAATTTTAGTATTCTAGATAGGGAATTGTGAGATGTGATAAGATTTGAGACTTATACAATGAAATATCACTTTATCTCTCATTTTGAGTTCTTACAGCAAGTGGTCAGCTGCTGACCAAAAAACTCTCAAGAATCATAGAAGCCTGAAATTTCTGTTTTCTTTTGTAGCAATGGAGGCATTCCTACACAGCTTCATATGACATTTATGATTTAAATAAAAGGTCAGTGACTTCCCCATAAAACCTATTAGGTTTTTCTCATCTAATAAAAAAAAAGAAAGAAAATCTCATGTGATTTATTCTTTAGGTCATGCATCTTTTCTTTTATCTTTTTTTCAGGCAGCTGATTACAGATGAGAGAATTCCAAACAGCACACAGTGGATCACATGGTCACCAGAGGGTCATAAATTGGTTAGTGAGTGTTTCCTGGTGTCAGAAAAATATTGGCTCAGATCTTTCATACGTGGAAGCTACTAACCCTGACAGCAAACTGTCATTTTAGGGAGTCAGTAATTCACTATAAAATACAGTGTTATTGCTCAAGATAATATCTTATTAGCCCAACTCAACAAATACAACTTCTGAAAGTTTCTGATCTACTATTTAAGAATTGTTTATTCACTGGGAAAATGCTCATTAAGCTCTTAAATTCGAATGACCTATTGTACTTAGATATTTTTAAGAGTCACAGCTGCCTTCTGCTAGTTCTGTGATCTCCTCTGTCACTGTAGATATATCTTCCTGCTTTCTAGTGCTAGGAGAATATCAGAAGTCCAAAAGAATCTAACAGGAAGATGGACTGTTTATCTGCAGTTGAACTTCTCCTTCCCAGCATGCAATGGTACTCCCTCTACTCACCCTCACCCAGAAAGAAGTACACAGTGTACAGTGGCACAAACGGTTAAGTGCTCGACTACTAGGTGAAAAGTTGGTGGTTCGAATCCATCCAGCATTGCCTGGCAAGACAGCCCTGGGGATCTGCTTCTGAAAGGTCGCAGCGTTGAAAACCCTATGGAGCAGTTCTACTCTACACACATAGGGTTGCCGTGAGTCAAATTTGACTCAGCAGCAACTAACAACATCATCCTATAGAAGTGGTCAGTCTTCTAGGTTTTCTCACACACGTTAGCATCTAAATAGTGGTAGTTTCAAGCTTCTTCTTAGAATGTTTTTAGGATTATTTTTTGGTTACAATATGTAAAATTATAATTTAAGAATGGGAGGGAAGGAGTGAATATTCTTCATTGTACTCAAATTGAGTATCTAGCCTATGGTAATAATTATACTTGCATACCAATTTGTTTTAGGATAAAATTATTGATAAATATTCTTAAAAACTTCAGGATAAAATATATTATTACATGTTATTATTGATACCAACCTTTTTTTTCTGTGCTTCTAGGCATACGTTTGGAACAATGATGTTTATGTTAAAAATGAACCAAATTTACCAAGTCAGAGGATTACCTGGAATGGAAAAGAAGATGTAATATATAATGGAATAACTGACTGGATTTATGAAGGTAGAGATTCTAAAATTTTTTCAAATCAGAAAATCTGTAAATTTTTTAAAACAGTTAAAATTTTATTTTAAAATGGAGACATTCAATGACATTGAAAATAAGTTGCATTAAAAAACAGTTATCAAGTCTCTTTTAGAACCCAAAGGATTAGGTATGTCAGAGACCAAGACATTCTTAATAGTAGCTAGTGGTGCTTATGTCCTCCTTGTTTCACAATACTCCTTTTGTCTTTGGTTTACCGTAACAAAAAACCTTTCTGTGTAGGTAGCTTTTCTGCTTTACTGGGGCACAAAAGCATCCAGATTAACATCAGATGTTTTTCTAACCAGCCCCACCTAGCCCAGAAGTTACTAAAACCAAAACCAAACCCATTGCCCCTGAGTCGATTCTGACTGTTAGTGACCCTATAGGACAGAGTAGAACTGCCCCATAGGGTTTCCAAGGAGCAGCTGGTGGATTCAAACTGC